GCTACGTCTACTCAACAATGATATTAGTGTTGTTAATTGCCTGGAAAAATTGCAGAATTTATAAATTACGCAATAATATTATTTAAAACGAGGAAGTTTAATTTGATTTAACTTTATTTCAATTTTGCAATACATAATGCATGGACTTTAATAGGCTGTAACGTTGACGAAAACGTACGTAATATGTTTTTGATTAAATTTTTTGTTATTAAACATAATTAATAATTAAAGTGTCTGTATTAAACAGTACTTTGGGTAAAAAGTCGGAAGAACAAATAAAAATGAACTCTGATTATCAACCCCGTCTGGGGACGACAGATGAACACGCGTTTGCTAGTATCCACCAGGGTGAATTTTTAGGGTTGATAAACGGAATAACCCAAAAAATATAAGTACTTTTTTAACAATAGTATAAAACGCTTCTCAATGCTGAATAACGATTCATCTAAATAATATAATATTACCCTAAATAGGTGTCCTACTAAATGGTCTTTAAGAAACCACGCTTTGTCAGCTATAAGGAAAAATTATTTTAATGATAAATGATATTAATAATGAAAATTTTGTACCAACTAAATTTAATTTCCACTAAAAAGGCGAACGTGACGAATAGAAAAATATAGTTACCATTTTAAAGAGCCTACAATTTTATAGTGCTTGTCGCCTTTTTTATTCACTATTTGAAATCATTAATCATTTTTCTCAAGCTCTACAGCATGAAAATAATGACTTATAGAAAGTGAACATTTTACTAAGTAATCTTTTGCATATACTGAGCGAACTAGGAAATCAAAATTCATTCCATGGTTTGCTGAGCGAGTCCAGAGATTAGCAAAAGAGTGGGATATAAAAACTACTTTCAAAAATAAAAAAAAGAAGATAACGAAGTATTTTTTTAAAGAAGAATATCAGAAGGTGAGAGAATTTCATACCCGGAATCTTACTTCAAAGTCAATTTGTACTTCTGCTGTTTAGACATATTAATTTCTCAAATTAAACAAAGATTTCAGAGCCTCTGATACCTAAGTAATGTATGAAGTATTTCAACTATTTCGAATACATTAGATAGATATAGATATTTAGGTACCACACGAGCTCACTGAAAGGTAGTAATAAGTAAGGTGTAATAAAACTTTAAAAAAATGTGTATATAAAAAACGAAAAAACTTGTCTCCGATCTATTAAATTCGCCGAACAAGACAAGAAAAGTGTATATTTGATTTGTATTGTTTGGCTAGCTTAGTTCCTAATTAGTATTAATAGTAATTATTAATTTATAATCTATATATATAATTATCTTATTTCATGCGAGCGGTTTTGGACCTTTCATTTGAGCCCCCCAACAAATCTTGATACAGGGCCCATCTAAGGCAAGCTACGCAACTGATTACACAACATGTAACAAAACCCGTATGGTTGACGTAAAGTGGGTTATTAGCATCAGTATTCAAATAACTTTACTTCATTCGCACTCGACCATAAAAATTAATTGAATTTAATTATATATTTTTTGCAAATTTGTTGTGGTTTTATATTACCTTTAATCGGAAAAGGGGGTCTTTGAAAATACTCAACCAACCAATGTAGAGGTAATAAAACTACATACAATTTTGCAAATAAAAGTTTTTTATATTAAATTTTTTATCGTCGTGTTTCTGTTACATGATGAAACAACACGGTTTTTGTTACATATTGCGTAGTACTTAGTCCTATATTGTTAAAAACTAGGATATTTTACAATAACCTAACTACAGCAATCATCCGGAAACTATAACATATGTGGGTCAGTGATATCTGTGGGCATATTTTTCGGCTCATTGTTCTTATTCTTATTAATGACTTACCTTATCTTGTAGAAGATAACGACAATATAGTATTATTTATTAGTTGATGATATTTGTTTGATTCAAATTCAGACGGGAATCATTAATTTATGATCATATGAAAAATGCTTTATCAAAATAAAATAAATGTACTACATACACAAAACTTAATGTTAAACAATCGAACTTAATTGAAATTAATCAATATGTTCTTAAATGGGAAAGAAATTAGTATTTAGAAGAGGGTCATATGAGCAAGTTGTAAAATAAATTTAAAATGACGAAAAATAAAAATGAAAATTATCTTTGGGAATAGGGTGATCGCTAAAAAGCTATGTCTCTAATATTATTTCATTTAAACAATTGTTTAATCGTATAAATTTATTTTGTAAACTCTTGCTGGTTCTTCCCACGACAATTTCCAAACTTGTAGTATCTGTACAAAACTTTAACTTTGTATAAGTAAGTAAGTAGTACCCGGATGACCGAGCTTTGCTCGTTTTTTTTTGAAATTATATTTAGATACAAATTACATACTGATGAATAATATTTTTTGATCTTATTGACATAATAGAAAAAACTGAAGTGGTTATTTGAATAAAAAATCATGAGTGCAATTAGTTTAGTTAAAATTTTCGTATTTTTAAAAAATACTGAAAAAAGGGCTCGAAATAATAGATTTTCTCACAAAAGAAGGGGACTTGGAAAAAAAGGAAAAAAAATCGGAACGAAGACTGGACGCGATCCAAGGCATTACCATTTCGCAACCGCTCGATATCCACTTGAGCTATTACGATCATTAACACAGTGTCAAAATTTACCTTCTTATATTATAGCAGTTTTTCATTGCCTGAAAACACGGACAAAAAGACATTTTCTAAAAATAAATCCTAGATAAGATCGATTTATTGCCCCCGGAACTCCCTGGACACTAAATTTTATGAAAATCGTTGGAGCCGTTTCCGAGATTTCGATTATATCTATCTATCTATATATATATATATATATATATATATATATATATATATATATATATATATATATATATATATATATATATATATATATATATATATATATATATATATATGTACAAGAATTGCTCGTTTACAGGTATAGTATTATGAAATAATTTACTTAATAAAAATATTCTATTATATCCCCTCACCCCCCCACCGGTCGCAAGAGCCCGCGGCCATATTCCGTCAAATCCCTAGCGGTTTCATGAGGTCGCACCCACCCACAGTTCTTTAACCCATAAAAACTTATATATAGAGGCTACTTTTCTAGGAAGAAGTCTAGTACTATCCTCTAGTGCAATAAAAAAACTGTTATCTTATGGATATTTATTTATTATCTACGTTTATTTTGTACGCCATTCCCGCTGAAGTAACCAAAAAAAAGTTCATGTAGCTAATTATGCCATTTCCTTTCTATTTCAAGATATTAGATATGAAATGAATGGTGTAGACGCAGACCGTGTAAGAAATGTTGGAATAACTGTGTGAGTAAGTTTACATAAAGTGCAATGGCGTATGCCTCATATCAAGGTATCTGACCAGCAAAGGCTTATTTCAATAAAACATTTAGAGAAAGATAAGCCTGTTTAAATCGCATTTAGAAATCTATATGAATATTACCAAACCATTATTACCAAAGTCTACTAAACATACATGGTCTGTGAATACAACTTCACAAATAGAGAAACTGCGTTATGTTATATTTGGACTAAAAACTTATAGAAAAAACAATAAAGATAGTGGCATTTTCGATGATTGTAACGTGACAAATGTTACATTATTCCTAAATTCTTATTATCCGAACGATGATGTGATGTGACAAATGTTATATTATTCCTAAATTCTGATTATTATCCAAACGATGATGTGATTTTTCTAGTATTTTAGTACAGTGTTTTATTATAAAATTGTAATGAAAGTTTTTGTGTGAATATAATTTACCTATTTACGTAAATAATTTTGGGTAATATATAGAAATAAAATATAGAAAAAAAATCGCTTGGTATATTTTCTTTTTATTATCAAAATACAATAAAATGTTTTTGTAATGAAGAAATACCTGACTTTTGTTTAGACCACAAGATAGAGAATTTTGTACAGATTTTTAATAATAAACTTCTTTATAGAAAAATCGTCTCCAAATATAAGTTTTAATGAATTTAAGTGCTGTGGGTGGGTGCGGTCGCTTGCGAGCGCTCGGGTTTTGCCGGGCGCATGCGACTGCACGGGATTTTTAAGGGACTTTAGGGGATATTATAGGTACTATTATTTACTAAGTGTATATCAGGGTATGACGGATGATGATATAATAAATGATATTTATGTATTGCTAATCTATCTTGGTATTCTTTGCAAGCGGGATTCTTGTCTTTAGAGAACTAATGCTTTCCCGGTCCACTGCAACTTGGCTTGACAATAATATTGTTAAAAATAATAAAAAATGTCGCATGGCGAATCAAATAACATCTGTAAATTAAGAGTACATAGTGTGGACACCAGTCAGACGTCAACAAGACGGTCATTCAATCAATGTCGATCCATTGAAGAAATGGCTTTAAAGCAGGGATGTTACGGATATGATATTTCGGATATGGATACGGATACGGATATGGGAATAATATTATATCGGTTTCGGTTTCGGTTACGGATATAAAATTATTTCGGATTATCCGTTAGTTTCGGATCGGATAAGATTTTTGAGGTATTTAAGTAAAATACAAATAAGTAGGTAATCATTTGGCTTTATATCTTGGTTATCATTTGGTATTACAATCAGTCATTTATTCAAGTAATTAACAATTTTATAAGAATAGTATACTAATTAATGTAGCTACCTACATATTTTTAAGTTATCTACTTAAAAATGCTATTACAAAATTATTATAATCAAAAACAATGCTATTAGTTTTTTTTTCTATTATATTCTTCAATATATTTCTAGGAACTATTACAACGCATAAATCAGTCTTCTTAAGTCTTTGCATATTGAAGAATAAAAACTAAAATCTGAACATAACATAACAAAATATTTACTTGTCTTTCACTTAATGATTTCTTTTAATAGTCGAAACTAAGCAAAGGTAAATTATACTTAACAAAAAGCAATTTCGCAGCCTTATCACCAGAAAGTCGATTTCTTAAGGGGTCATAAATTAACCCAGCTGCACTGAAAAGCTGCTCACTTGGTACACTTCCAGGAGGTGGAGAAAGGTACTGTCTTACTAAATCACTTAAGCAATGGTACTTGGTATGCATTTTCCACCATAAAAGTGGATCTTCATTGAGTGTCAATCGTTTCTCCCTGTTGTATTCATTTAGTAATGTCTTTTTAACAATAAATTGATTGTGCACATCATCACCACAATCTATGTTTTGCTCTTCCTCGTCACTTAAGCTTAATATTTCAGCTAGACAAGATTGAATGTGTGAATAGTTGCTTGAGCTTGTTGTCGGAATCTCATTCCGTGATCTCTTAGGTGAAGAAGGACCTTCATCACGAGAAGCTTTTGAACACCCAAGAATCCCCAGAATCTCAGACTGTACCTGTTCCTTCGTAATTTCAGTAAAAAACTTGAGTTTAAACCGTGGATCTAGATAAGTAGCTATTGTATATATTTTATTATTTTCAATATCCTGAAATCTGACATTGATGTCTTGGATCATTTTCGTAATCATTAATTTGAAGTTCTCAGAAGTCTCTTCTTTACTCTTCTCTGTTTCTAGTGTGTTTTTAAGAGTATATATTAATGGAATCACTGATGCTATTGTTGCAGTAGCACTACTTAACTCCTTTGTAATTTCTTCGAACGGCTTTAGTATTGCAACACACTTTTTCAAGTCGAGCCATTCATCAGCATTAAGAATTGGTATATCATGCGCGCCCGAATACAGTACTAAGGAGTCTTTTAATGTCAATATTCTTTTCATCATATAATACGTCGCGTTCCATCTGTGAAAAAAGAAAAAACAATGTCAAATCAAATAAAAAAAAATTACATAATAGATAGGTGTATAAAATAGAATAAAAAAATCTCACCGTGTGGAACATTCCTGAATTATACTTAGTCCTGATTGGTTCAGTCTTTCTGTTTGAATTTGTTTCAATTCATTTTGCGCGATTAGGGAGTGATTGAAGTGAGTTGCAATTTTCTTGCACTTCGTAATTACTGACGAGAGAAATTCTTCGATTTCCATCGTTGATCGCACACATAATTGTAGTTGATGAATAGTACAGTTTGCATCAGTGAAATTGGCCATATTCATAGCTTTTATCATATTAGATCCTCTGTCGCGTAAAATACAATGAACTGATTCCGTGCTTAAGCCCCAATCTTTCAAAATATTGTTTAAATTATTTGCTATAATTTCACCTGTGTGCCGACCCTCTAATTGTTCACACTTGAGTATTATAGAAACTCTTTCATATTTATTGGTGATGCCATGAGCAGTAAGACTAAGTAACGATACATTTGAGCTGGGCTCTGACCACACATCTGTAGTAAATGACAACTTTTCAAATTGCTTAAGTAATCCCAGCACCTTTAATTTAATTTTATTGTATATATCAGTACACAGCAAATTAGTAAAATACTGCCGACCTCTTAGATGATAGCGTGGTAATGCTGCCTGCATTAATCTTTGGAAGCCGACACCTTCCACAAAGTTAAATGACAAGTTTTGTAATGCAATCATTTCAGCTACTAATTTATCAATTTCTTTTTGCTTGACATTACTTTCATCCCAGGCGCCTTTATTTTTTAAAGAATCTGTTATTGACAGCTGTTTTTTACACTCTTGTAATGGTGTCAGCTGTTTCGTGGTATGTGGTATTTGTTGGATATCTTTTTCTAGTAACAAAAGTTCTTCGTACTTATCACCGTGTTTTGATTTAAGATGAAGTTTAAGCGAAGTAGTGCCACCTCCTTTTCGTGAAAAGGTTTTATCACACTGTTTACATTTTGCGGAATCTGCATTAACTTGATTAAAAAATCTCCAAATTAAACTAGACTTAGGTCGCATTTGGTCCAGATTAGGTAAACAATTTAATAACACAACACTTTTCTTTCACTTCGTCGAACTAAACTAATTACTCGTACCTAAATATAAAACTGACTGACGGGACTTATGTATGACTGCAACATAAATAATAAACAAACAATGCAAGAGTAAGAGACACGCGCCGCTAATGTAAAAAAGAAACCTGTTATAACAAGTCTCATTTAGACTCAGCCCCTACCCTTATCCGAAATTATCCGAAACTTTTATATCGGATTCGGTTACGGTTACGAATAGTTTTTTATTTCGGATATCCGATAGTTTCGGATACGGTTACGGAGCTCCATAACATCCCTGCTTTAAAGGCATTGACTTATATATTACTAGCGTAAGGACCGGGCCGAACGAAGAACCAAAACGGACCAGGGCGCTGGCCCTAAAATTACAGTTTAGGGCCAACGCGACTCGGTCACCAGTGGTGCGCGCGCAAGACAAATTTGTCTGTCATAAATATGTCTAGTTGCGTGGTAAAAGTGTGCAAAATTTACGATACAAAATTTAAATAGGAACATAGGATATAGTATCATCGGTAAAATAACCTTATATTCCTTTTGTTAATATTAAATTATTATATAAACGCATTTCTAAAGTATTATTTTACAGTTAGTTTAATGACGTTACCAAGATTAGGCCAGGGTTGTATTCAGACCCTCAAAAATATTGTACATGGAAAATAAAATTAGGTATACTATTTTTTTTGGCGTCACGCGTTTAGTTTATCTATATTTCTAGATACGTTTCGTTTTTTGCCGCTTTTATTTTTATTTCTGTTTAATTTTTTTCTAAAGAACTTAGTAGTATAAGTTAAATTTTGAATATTGGTACCTAATATATTTTATATTCAATGAGGGTAAAATGAAAAGAGTACAAAAGAAACCATATCTGCTTAATTAAATCTGAAAATCTAATTCATAAAATATTTTGAAACTCTGTTTTCAAACCGATTGCTTAGAGCTTAGAGTTTTTATCGTGGTAGCCCCTCATTATAGTTGTATCAAGAATGCAACATAAATGCATTGATCGAGCACCGATTGACCAGAAAGGGGGCTAATTATAATTTTATTAAAAAAAAAACGCGGTACTCATGCACAATACAGAAATTCTCGATATAATAGGGTTAATATTAAAAAGTAAAAAGACCCAATAATAATACAAGTCGACCTTTAGGTAAAATTATGGTATTTTCGCTTAGTATTATTACGATACTACATACAACAAACTATGAAATGGTAAATTAGGATAATAATTATACTACGAAATCCGACCCTGGTTACGTCGTGTTATGATGTGACGTTTGTATTATGACAAATAGTAAAAGTATAGTCAGGGGGTTTTCATGCTGGTCTACCTTTCCGGTGATCCTGTTATGGAATACGGGTACGCGACCCCGGCTCCCCGAGCTACTGTTATTCTCATACCTTTCCTGCCGAGATAACAGTATCCTTACACCTGCGCTCCTAACCCCAACCTTCTTTTTCCTTTTCCCAAAATGGTAGCTTCCTCTACCAACAATAGCATACCCAAAGAGGGTTGGTGTCAGGCAGGCGGCCGACTGTAAAACTTTTGCCAAATCCCATGCAGTAAACCTATGAATATTACGAGTTGTGGGATATATGACAGGGCTAGGGCGTACCCCGCAGGCGACGCGCAGGGGCAGCACCCGGCTCCTGTGGGAAGTGGGCAAGGGTTGTCGCACCTTACGGAGCGGGTGCGACGTAAGAGGCGAGCCCGGAGAGAGAAGAATGTCAGAGTGAGGTTTGCAAGCTGGAATGTAGGTACGATGACTGGAAGAGGAAGAGAGTTAGCAGATGTTTTGAAACGACGAAGAGTGAATGTTGCCTGTTTGCAGGAAACAAAATGGAAGGACAATAAAGCAAGAGAGATTGGGGAAGGATACAAGTTTTATTATTGTGGAAGTGATGGGAAGCGAAATGGAGTAGGAGTTGTGTTAGATGGTGGAATGAAAAAACGAGTGACAGATGTGAAAAGAGTAAATGACAGAATGATAGTTATTAAATTAATGATTGAAAACAAAGTAGTGAATGTTGTAAGTGTGTATGCTCCGCAAACAGGCTGTGAAGAGAGTGTGAAAGAGAAGTTTTGGCAGGAATTTGATTGTATGATGATGGGAATACCTGAGAGTGAGGATGTTTATATGGGAGGAGATTTTAATGGACATGTAGGGAGAGTGAATGACGGGTATGAAAGAGTACACGGTGGATGGGGGTACGGAGTGCGGAACCGTGAGGGGGGAAGTTCTTCTGCAAGCAGCATGTGCTTTCGACCTGGCTGTAGTAAACACGTGGTTCCAAAAACGAGATCAGCATCTTGTTACTTATAAAAGTGGCCACCACGCGACACAGATCGACTATCTTCTGATAAGACGGAACCAAATCAAGAGTGTAAAAAACTGCAAAGTGCTTCCAGGTGAAGACTTAGTATCCCAGCACCGAATTCTGCTGGCTGACATCTGCTTAACTGTTCGCCTCGACAAACATAAGGATCGTCCCCCACCCAAAATAAAGTGGCATTTGTTGCATAAGGAGGAGTATGCAAGTGAATTTAGAGAGCTAGTTGTAAACAAGATGATAGTGGAAGGAATGAGTGTGAATGAGTGCTGGAAGGAAATGGCTGATTGTATCCGAAGTGTGGCAAGGAAGGTGTTAGGAGAAACAAAAGGGAAGCGTATGATAGATAAGGATGGGTGGTGGTGGAGTGAAAGTATTAGAGAAGTTTTGAGAGAAAAGAAAAATGCCTTTAAAGAATGGCAGAGCGTAGAAGACCAGAATGATTCCATAAAAGAAAGTAAGAGAGGGGCGTATAAAGAATGTAAGAAGAGAGCAAAGAAGGAAGTTGCTATTTGTAGGGCAGAGGCGCAAGATAAATTATATCGGTCCCTTGAAAGCCCCGAAGGTCAAAAACGACTTTTTCAAATTGCAAAAGCGAGAGAAAGGAATGGAAGAGATGTTTCACATGTAAAATGTATAAAAGATGATTCTGGAAGGATTTTGACTGACGATGAAAGTATAAAGAAGCGATGGAAGGAGTATTTTGAGAAATTGATGAATGAGGAGAATGAATGGAATGGTATGCTTGAAAACCCACCAGTGAATATGGGCTTAGTGAGAGAAATTAGTGTGGAAGAAGTAAAAATGGCTGTTAGGAATATGAAGAATGGGAAGGCGGTCGGCCCAGATGGAATACCAGTAGAAGTGTGGAAGTTGCTGAGTGCGGATGGATGGAAGTGGTTGAGTTTATTTTTCGGTAAATTGTTGCAGGAAGAACAAATACCTGAGGAATGGTGCAGTAGTATACTGGTCCCCATTTTTAAAAACAAAGGAGACGTTCAAAACTGCAGCAGTTACCGGGGAATAAAACTCATGTCACATACGATGAAAGTCTGGGAAAGAATAATAGAGAAAAGAATGAGAGAAGAGTGTGAGATAACACAAAACCAGTTCGGATTCATGCCCGGTCGAGGTACGACAGATGCCATTTTCGCATTACGCCAATTGTGCGAAAAGTACAAGCGCGTGCATAAAAATCTGCACATGGTTTTTGTCGACCTTGAAAAGGCGTACGATCGGGTTCCCCGTGAGGTTTTGTGGTGGGCGTTAAAGATGAAAGGTATGCCTGGGAAGTATGTGAGGTTAGTCCGTGCTATGTACAGAGCATCCCGTACATGTGTACGATCTGCCGCGGGAACTACGGGCAGTATCGATGTGGCGGTAGGGCTGCACCAAGGGTCGGCATTGAGCCCTTACCTCTTCCTACTGATTATGGACGCTTTGACGTCGGACCTGCAGGATGAGGCACCCTGGTGCATGCTCTTTGCCGATGACATCGTGCTTGTCGGGGAAGAAGGCATCGAGGTACAGAGCAGACTGACGGGGTGGCAACAGAGGCTGGAAAGTGTTGGCTTGAAGATCAGCAGATCCAAAACCGAATATCTGTGCTGTGATTTCGGCGGTCTTTCCAGTCCTGTACCCATGTCGTTGGATGGCGCTATACTGCCTACCTGCTCAGAATTCAAGTACCTCGGTTCCCTCATTCAAGGCGACGGCGGAATAGATAGAGCTGTGCAGCATAGGATTAACGCAGGGTGGGTGAAATGGCGACAGGTCACAGCCACAACGTGCGATCCCCGAATGCCAATAAGGCTGAAGGGGAAAATTTACAAATCGATCATCCGACCTGTCGTCATGTATGGAAGTGAATGCTGGGCCGTCAAGAAGAAGGATGAAAATAGACTGCATGCGAATGAAATGAGAATGTTACGATGGATGTGTGGTGTGACAAGGATGGATAAGATAAGGAATGAGTATATAAGAGGAAGCCTGAAAGTAGCGCCAGTGGTAGAAAAGGTGAGAGGAAGCAGATTGGCATGGTTTGGGCATGTGATGCGGAGGGATGAAAGTCATGTCACAAAACGAGTGTTGAATATGAATATGGAGGGACACACGGGCAGAGGAAGGCCGAATAAAAGATGGATCGATTGTGTGAAGAGTGATATGAGAATGAAAGGAGTAAGTATGGAAATGACGGCTGATAGAGAGGAATGGAACAAGAAGATTTACTGCGCCGACCCCAGATAATGGGAAATGGTTTAGAGAATGATGATGTTTGTATTATGACAAATGCGCTACTTTTCTTGTATGAAAAAGTTTTGAGTAAAATATATAGATGGGCATATCCTTCCTTTTGAAATCATTGTTTAACGGCCGGTTTACATTTTGAGAAGTGACAGTAGCTAAATGCAAGTGCCACTGACAAATGACACGTACGAGTGACAAGTGATAAGTGTGTAAAGAACAGTATGAATGGCAGCCTACTCTATTCTTTGACAAGTAGCTCTGCCCCGCGTCACCCTCGCTTTTCGCTCATTCGTCCACCGTTCCCGCTCAAGCTAACACGTCACGATATACACGTGATGGTAACTAATTTTGGTTTGAAATTTAACAGTT